AAAAAAATGGGCTTTTGGGAGGGTTCCATGAAATCAGAGCTGTCAGTCAGCTGTTCCTATCTGACTTGTAGGTAGGTTTCACAAATGCTTCATGAGAGACTTTAAATTGTGTGTGGTACATTCATTTAGTTTATTGCAATCCTAATACTTTATAAGTCAAAAGCTGGGTGTAACTATTAGGGAGTAGTGCTTACTTCACTGGAACTTTTAATCCTTTAAATAACTATTTTGTTATTTGTAACTACAGCTTAATATTGTAAAATCATTGGGTTTCTTTTTCTTTAAAGTATTTTTTATGGTACTTGTTAAGCCATTTTATGCATTTGAAATTTTTTTTTAAAAAGTCGAAGAATCTGCATCACGAGGGCCTCTATTTGGCAATAATGACTGTATAAGGAACAAAACAACTTCAAGTTTTTCATTTTTTCTGAAATGGTTTGTATGTTGGGGGGAGAAAAGGAGAGAAAGATAAATTGACTTACCATGATTTTTAAAAATGAAATTTACTTCTTTGAAATCTTTTACATCAGATTATGTGTACTAAATATCCTTATGCGATTTTGATGGGTTAGTGTTTTTCTCTATTAAATATTAAAAGGTCATGTTTAATTTACTAATTAAATTCTATTTAATTAGTACCTTGCCATATTCGTTCAGAATCTTTTGAAAATGAGGTTTCATCCTGTTTTGGATTTCCAGATTATTATTTTCAAATAACTCTTGTCCTTGTTTTGAAGGTCAGTCCCATAACTTTATGGAGAATATCTGGTTTTGGGGAATGGCTGTTTTCTAGAACATCACTTCATTCTGTGTCTGAACACCTTGAATCTCTCAACTGAATACACTTATGCTCTGTATTTAGGAGCGAGCGAGCCCGCTGGATCACTGCCCTGGGACACAGCAGCGGGAAGCAGCCCCCTGAGCGAACCTGTAAGTATCCGGCAGGCAGCCCCCTCCAGCACATGGGGAGACTCTGCCCCCTGCTGGACACTGGGCGTTAATGGTTTACTAACCACAATACCCACTTTCTGGTGTCCTCCCTTGCTGCTCTCCAGCTGAGCTAAATGATCCCTGATTTGGAAGTCAAGGGTTCTGAATGCAAATTTAGGGTACAGTTTTTGTATAAATTCTTGCATTACCCCTAATAACAAGGGCGTATTAGGAAAGTTCAGTGAAGTGATGAACACAGAAAGCTCTGCTTGTAAATGGGCAACAGTTGCATCTTTAATTAAGCTTTATCCTGACCATCTGACTCTAAGCAGAAATTTGTTTTTAACCTTTAAGAAGATCACGTGCCCATTCCTTTCCCCCTTATTAAAGTGATATTAGGCAATGCCAATTCTTAGAAATCTAAGAATTGGAAGTAAAGGGTAGTGTGGTGGTATCTGTGCCTTAATGTTGATGTTATGCTTCTGTGGGTGATTCTATGCAAGATCCAATGCAAAGATCAGGGCAGCAAAAATGGTTACTCTGAAGCACTCAAGAGTCAGAAGTTCAAGCTGAGAGTCATCAAAGTTATAGTGATTTGCTCAAAATTTCTCCATGATTAAATTTTACTTTAAACATCAAGTCAGGAAAAAGGTCAGTCAGTACTAACTCGCCAAAAATGACTATTTTGTTTCAAGTCAGCATGGGGTGGGGGTGGGGACCTCTAAAGTCTCCTCTGAACTTCAGTTAAATTTTTTTCTCCCTAAATTTGGGCAGACTTCATATGCAGCTACTGGTGGGCTGGGAAGTGCCTTGCCTGAGAGGGTCAGGCATGTATCATCTGTTCATGGCCCATGCCCATTATCTGATCTTTCCTGCCTCAGTTTCCCCCAAACAACGGTTATTTTCTCCTCCATTGTGTGATATGACTACTGATTCTTCCCAATGCTTCTTGAGGGATTCATGCATCATAAAAAAAACCCTTCTGGATTTAGAGCTTGTCTGACATTCTTAGTCAGGTAAGAGTGTCTGCAAAAGACTTTCTGCTGCTTTTTAGAAGTTTACTCTCAGTGTTGGCCTTGAATTGCACAGAAAGAACAAGTAAGTATATATGACTGATTTGTACGTTTTACTTTTCCTCTGCTAATGGAAGCTCAATGTGTCTTTTTTCTCCGCAGCACTGACCCAGGTAGAAATCATTAGATCGTTTACTGCCAAGCAGCCGGACGAACTCTCCCTGCAGGTAGCAGATGTGGTCCTCATCTATCAATGTGTCAGCGACGGTGAGTGGCGTGTTTTAGGGGGACTTGAGGTCCGTTGTGATAGAACCCAGGACTGTCGTTTTGTAATTAATGTTAGTATTAATTAGTCATCGCTAGTAAGTCGTTCTGTATTTAATGTATCCCTTCATTTTGCCACATGTGTCTGCCTCTGTGCTTATATTTTTTAATATAGTCAAGGGGTTTGCTGTTCAAAAGGAACCTCTTGCTTTCTTCCCCCTCCTTTTAATGTTTTAGTTCTCATCTGCAGAAGTTCATCCATCCTTATTTTAAAAGAAGAAATCATTTCACCTGCTGTTTGTGTCTGAGTATCTTCTCTAGCCCAGGACAAGCTCCACGCTTTCAGCCATCTCTTTCGGGACTCTGATCATGTTCCGCCTCCGTAGGACCATTACTTCCCCATGAAGTTTTTCCCTGTTTCACTTTCTTCATCTTTCATCATTTGTGATGCACAACCTGTCATGTTGTTCACTCTCAATTGTACTCACATCCTCCTGGAAGCCATCACTCAGTCAAATTTGTCCCAGTATTTACTGCTTCATGAAGACTTTTATTTTTTTGCAGGTTGGTATGAAGGGGAACGACTACGAGATGGAGAAAGGGGCTGGTTTCCTATGGAATGTGCCAAGGAAATAACATGTCAAGCTACAATTGATAAGAATGTGGAGAGAATGGGACGTTTGCTAGGACTGGAGACTAATGTGTAGCGTGATGGCCTCTTATTACTGCGAGATTTGCACTATGTCATGGTGGACTGGTTGGTTCTGGGCTGGTTTTGTCATGTTCTCAACACAGCCGAGGTAAAGTTACAAGAATGAAAACACTTGCCTTAAGCTTGCCAGGTGGTTATTAAGCTCTCTCAGGAGAACAACTGCTAGATTCAGTTCACACACCTCAGTTTGTAAACAATGATCCACTTACAAACCTCTTCAAGTTCACAGAATAGCTAAGCTGTTCAGTCAGAAATCAGGTTACCATTATGCTCTTGGTACCCTCATGTTCTGGAAGAAACAGTGATGCTGTCTGTGACTTGGTTTTCACTATTTTCACTTAACCAGGAGCTTTGCTATCTCTTCTTATATCTTCTTTCTGTGGTTCTCTCAGTATTAGCAAGTGTTTGTGTCCTGAAATACCCAGTTTTGTAAATATTTTTCCTGCCTCTTTAAATTTAGATCTGATTTCTAATGCTTTGTTGATTTTGAAAGGAACTGGTAGAATTCAGAAAGTGAGCTGGTAAGATTTTCTGAAGCTCTTCCGAGCAAAGGGATATTGACACTTGAATAGTTACCATCTCCTTCCACGTTAGAAGGAAATTAGACACAGGTTTGGTTTGGTTTTAAAGACGTCTCACCCAATATTGTTCTTAGATAAATATAGCCTAATTAAAATTAGTAACTAGTCTAAATGACATGGTTCAGACATTTGAAAGTATTCTAAATATAGGCATACTTTTTTTATATATATATTCCCAAATGAACTGATTGACGTGAGGCTACTCTGCCTTCAATGATGAAAGGTTTTGACTGTTCCTACTCTCATTTCCAAACAAGAAATTGGCTGCAAAATCTTTAAAAACTCTGAAAGTAAAATTAGTCTCTAGCAGTCATTAAGAATCCAGTATGGTACCTAATTGAAACAACATTTTGACCTAAATGGAAACTCTATTTGGACTAAAGCCTTGCTTGCTTGATTTGGAGCCTCTTAATAGTTAATCTCTGTTGACCAACATTTTGTTAGTACATTTCATGAAGAGCAAAGGAGACAGACCTTGGAAGTCTGAGGGAAGAAGTGATTTTACTGGCAGCTGTTTCCTCAACACTATTCTCTTCCACAAAGGGATTAAACTAGCAATGGCTATATTATTCAAGGGCTCTGATCTCTGAGACATTCCCGATTACTGTCACCCCAAATCGTGCAGGAGGTATGCTTGGCCCACAGGCCCTGCACCCTGCCACCAAAGCACTGAGCTGTCACATGGCACCTGGCCCTGCCAGTCCGTGTTGCTCTCTCATGTCTATGCATACCTTTCTGGTGTAGAAGACACAACAGGCCCTGAGTTCCTTGAGGAAGGCCTGGGTCATTCAGTCAGTGAAATAATAGCTGTGGACCAGAGCAAGAGAAGTCTCAACCTCTTTAATGTCATGGATTTTTTAGTGGAAAGGCTAACGTGATATAATGTAATACCATATTTTCACTTAGGAAAGGAAAATGTGTTGCTAGCAAAGGGATAGTTTGGTATTATTTTATTAATACCCAGTTGAAGCTAAAAAGCAACTGTACAAATTCTGTAAATTAATTTATGAGTAGACATTAAACAGTTTTGGAAATAGGTTCATCAAATAAAACCAAAACTTTAGCATATGGTTAGTACTGTTATTAAATGTTTTACAGCAGGCGTTTAACACTTACAATGTTTAATTTCATCTGTGTATTGTTTTTATATGACACAGGATTGTTTTCAAACCTAGCTGGGTTTCATGAAGTTTCTCTGAATTGTACAATGACTCTAATTCAGTAACCTGTGGAGAACAAAAATATTCATTTTTGTCCCAATGAATTGAGACTGCTTGTACACTTTTGGCGAAACGTGAATTTATAAAGATTTTGTATAACTTGTTCTGTTGTGCTGGTGTGATTAATTTATGAAGTTTTGTCCAAAAGGTATCTTTAAGTCAATCTTATTTTCAAACTTCTTTACTGGCTCTGGATTATGGTGGACTATGAATCTAGTGTCCCTCTCATGAGTGGACATAAAATTACAGTCAATGTCAGTTATTGAGGATCCAGGTATGTTGTACATAAATGTCTTTTAAGAAGGTATTTCCTCTCAGAAAATGTCTATTTGTACACAGCAGTGCTTGGAAGTTGCTGAAGCCATAACCCATGGCCTGTCATATCCCAGGTTAGGGAACCAGTTAGACTACATCCTATTGCAGGCTGCTTTGCGTCCTTTGTCCTGGTGTGACTATTGGGTTGTCAGAAAAGTCCTGACATATTTTTACTTTTCCAGTAATCCAGTATTAAAAACGCTGCTTTCACTCTTAAAGTTCTGTTTTCACTGCCTTCTTTTCCTTGACCTACAAATCATCTTAAACAAAACAGCTTGGTACTGAGGGGAGGTTGAGTCAGGGGAGGGTATCTAGAGTTAAGACTTAAGAACTAACCTCTCATTTCTCATCAGCTGCCCTAGAAGGTGGGAGCCTTTTAAAGAGTTGAGTCATGCTATTTCTTTTCCATTTTCACAGAACAGCATTTCTTTGAATAACTTAAAAAGTTCACATTTCCCAAATTGACCCTGGAGCACATCCCTTCTGTATTGGCTTTCTTTTGCTATATAACTCAGTATCACAAACTTCGTGACTTAAAACAGTACCATTTGTGTTTTTCTCACAATTCTATAGCCAGAGGTCCAGGATTGGTTGCTGGGTTCTCTAATTTGAACCTCACAACACTGAAAGTGTTTCTCAGCTGAAGCTTCTTTTGCTTATTCTTTCCAGCAAAGTTCAGTTCCTTGTGGTTGTAGGACTGAGGTCCCTGTTTCCCTGTTGGTTGCCAGAGGAGCACTGTACTGCATCTGCACCTTCAACTTTCCCAAGAATCAATGATCTGATTTTTTTTTTAAGAAAACATTTAAAAATTTTAACAGGTACTTGAAGCATCATTGCTTACAGCTTTTCCTGTCCATTCATATATTCTCTATGTGGTTCCTTCTATCCTCAACAAGACAGTTGTAAATCCTTAACCTTACTTGAAATCTATTGTATGTTTTCAAGCAGTATCCCTTATGTATTAACTGAGAATCAATGGATTTAAGATCTTAATTACATCTTCTTCAAAACTTCTTTGCCACACAATACAATATAATCACAATGTGACACAGGTTGGTGGGAGGAGTGCACAATGAGAGGGATCATGGGTCACCTTTGCCAGTAAAATTTTCTCAAATGCTGGATAAATTACTAGCACCCCTGCGGTTAAATTACAGCCTTATGATAGAAAATAAAATTAATAAACCTCTAGGCTATCCTAAGGGGGGAAAAAAAAAAACTCAAAAATCAGAGTTATAATGGATGAGCAGAAATATAAGGGATCATAAGAGGCTGTCTGAACATGTGCCAATAAATTAGACAACCTAGAAAAACTGTACAACCATTGCAACAGGAAATGAGGGAGATCCTGTACTAAAATCAGATAAAGTAAACTTCAAACAAGGGAAATTACTAGAAACAGAAAGGAATACTATATAGCAATAAAAAGTCAATGGATACAACATTAAGTCTAATGTATATGTACCAAATAATGAATCTTTAAAATAATATTAATCAAAAGCTAAAAAGCTAACCAAAGAAAGGAAAAAGCTATGGAAATGTTAAAAGTTATAAAGCAGAACTCATCAAGGAATGGAATCTAAATGACATTTACAGAACAGTGTCCAGTAACCAATTACATACTATTTTTATGTAAATATGGAGCATTCCCAAATCATATTTTGGCTCATGAAATAAACTGACAAACTTAAGATAATTTCTTATAAGCACCCCATATAGTATGGCAAGCCTGACCATTGGCACCCATGAGAAGTGAAAACAACTTTCTAATTGGAAAAAAACATTCATAACAATTTTCTAATTGGAAAAAACTTAAAAGTTCATCAAATGGTGAATGACTAAATGGATATAACCAAAAATACAATGCATGCCAAATAAAAAACTGATACCTGCAAAACCAGGACTATCTCAAGAAGCATTACATTACATTAAGTGAAAGAAGTTGGACACAAAAGGCTACATATGGTTTCATTTATTTGAAATACTAGAAAAGGCAACACTAGGCACAAGACCAGTGGTTGCCAGTGGGTAGAAGTACGGGGAGGGGACTGAATGCAAATGACGATATGGGAAATTTTTAGGATAGGAATGTGAAGATGGTGGTGGTAGCAATTACATGACTTTATACATCTGACAAAATTCACTGAATTATACACTTCAATTGGCTAATTTTATTATATATAAAATAACTTAAGGCTTAAAAAAATATGGATATACCAAAACATAAGTAATAACATGCTTTTCTTATATGTTCAACTTCCAAATATTCTACTAGATGTATGATCAGAACAAAAATACCATTTAACAACATTTAGCATATTGTAAATACATGATTATACCAAACAGTCACGATTATTTAAAAAAATACATAAACATAATGGTAGAAGAGTAGAAGTGACCACACTCTTTGGGTGTGTGGGCTCTAAAATAAATTCCAAAGTTTTTATATAAATTTTGAATGTTAGGATGAATTTTTTTTTTAAGTATATAAGAATGGAAAACCATTTACAACTAAATGTCATAGAGTAAAGCTTTTGACCACGTTCATACATTAGGACTCACTTCTCACCGATGCTTTTAAGGATTATTCAGGGGTTTGTTTTTTTCCCGTAACTTTCTGTTTCAGAATTATTTTTCAAGAGTTATTCTCTGCATCACTCAGGAAGGAGAGGCAAATAGACTTTCCCTTCTTAATGTCTTTTCTTTAAATCCAGTAAAATGTAATAGCTCTTACACCTGAAATAGAGTTTCCACTCAGTAACATTTTATAAACAAAAGAACAGAACAAAAACGGCAGTTGTGAGTAGAATTTCATCTAACCAGCTGAAGACAAATTGGGGGTGATAGTAACTGCTACAATTACTGAATAGCTTATCTATTAAGCAATTTTTCAGGAATCATTTCCCCATCTATACGGTTTGCAGATAAGGAACCAATTAACTGGTAACTTGTATTTATAGATTCTTTGACTGCTTTCTTCCAAGACCATTTGGCCAACTGAATTTAAACTACAAAATAAAAGCCAAAAAAGAAGAGCTCAAGGAAAACAAACATTCTTAAACAAACATTCTTAGTGTGCAAATAGGACCCAATGTCACTTGACTTTAGGGACAAAACTGAACTATAACATGTGATAGGACTCAATGGAAGAATTCAATGAGACATCACTTTTGGGAATTGAGCCAAGAAACAAGACTTTGGACACAGACTACAGCCCAAGCCTTGGAAGGCACTGATAGATAGGATGACTGATATCCCCAAAATGGGAGCAGTACCTGAACCAGTGCTCTTAACAGATGGTCACAACAATATCAAGAATTTCCAGCCATTGTATGATACTCTTCCTTTGGTTTCTTTATTTTTAGTTAAAGGCACAGTAAAATATTTTTTAGGATCAGGTTTTTTTATATTGCAGTATGTCCAGTACTACCCTTTTCATATCTTTTGTCAAACTGTTCAATCATAGAGTAAATGGTAGAAAAACAGGCTCAAGCAATGATGGATAGTGTTTCAGTTGTTTTCTTCCAAGTTTATACAAAATATTCTATTAAAAGTGGCCAAAATAATTTTTTTTGAACTATCAAGTTAAGTCCATTTTAGAGCTGGAGAATCAGCAGTTCACTAACATAACCAGTAACTGGTGATTTCCAACTTTCTATTGACCCTACCTCAACATTCCCTGGAATTCAAACTGGCTACAGTTCTCAATACCAGACTCAGTGAAGATAAAAGAAAGAAAAATGTTCTCCTCTATTTGTAAAGATGCTCCCTCTCAGATCTCTTCAATTGCCACTGGCTAGGACAGATTCACATACTCACACTTCATAAGTATTTCAAGGGAAGTAAGACCATGTATGACTGGCTTGTAACAATCTAGCTGATCCATGGGGAAGTGTGTTCAAAAAAGGCTGCATGGGAGGGGACCACTTGAACAAACATAAGAGAAGGACAAAAAGGCTGCTGGACAACTAGCAATAGTATTTGTCACAATCTGATATGGGTAAAAAAACAAAGCACATGTCACCCCAGCTTTCATTGTAAGAGAGCAAAATAGCATTGACTGGAAAACGGTATAATGGAATGTTATTTAAAAATTTCAGTGACAAATACCTAAGATTTAGTTAGTGCATCCTACCTGCCAAACACTAGTCGATGTGCTTTACATATTCACCTATTTAATCCTCACAATTGTTTCCTGTATTTTATAGGTAAGGGAAAACAAAAGAAGCCAATTACCTTGCTGAAGACAGCTAGCAAGGAACAGAGCTGACATCTTAATTTAAGTTATCAGGCTATTTTTTATCCCCTTAATTGCTACATTATGTTACACAAGGTGATGTGAAGAATATATTCTAAAAAGATAAAAAAAAAAAAATCAAATAAACCAAGGTATCAGTGGAAATATAGAACCCAAGCCAAAAGTTAGCTGAGATTAACACACTGTATATTTTATTAGATACTGGGCTTTATTCTGATAGAAATTTTGTTTCAAAAATGGAAAAAAAGTTCAAATTTGTTTCTGACACACCTTTTTGGCTAACCAATCTAGTTTTACTGGTTGTGTGGATAGTCAAGTCATTGGGGGCAGAAAAATTAAATTTTTTATGACAAAACAAAGCAATTGTCAAGTGGTACAACACATCCAAGTATATGATCAGGAACCTATTTCTTTTACTGATATAACAGCTACAGATAAGTCATGCACATTAAGTTTTTACTACCTACTGAAATTTTCTACCTTGCATATGAAAATTATTCATGTTTCAGGGTTTGGCATCCAGCCAAAACTTGAACTGCGATGAAAAATGGCTATTAAACTGGCTGTTCAGGCCACCACAGAAAAGTTGTCAGCTGTAGTATCCATCCTGGAATCGTGGTGGTAAATTCCTGGGAGTTGCTTTTTCCTGTGTTTTGATTAAGTCTGTAATAGCAGACAGAACTGCACAGTCTCTGGATTTAGTGTCCTTCCAGTCTACAGGATGGGGACTTTCAATCTTCTCTTGCAGAAGAATATCTAGTTCCTTTCTTAATTCCTAAGATTGGAAAAATTACACATGTTCAGAAATGCTGATGTACGTCAAACAATGTAATAAGTAAAAGTGACCCTAGATGGTAAAGGAAAAACAAAAGACAAGTATTTATCAAGCAGTTAACTAAACTGTGACTATGAAAAAGAACTAAAGTTAAAAAATTCAAACTTTTTGATTTGAAACTACCTCAACGAAAAACTATGAATCTACTTCTCAACACCATTTATTCTACTGAAACGTCTAGAAGTATTTCATACATACATATCTGGAACAAAACCACAAGACTACCTGCTCATCTGCATGTAGCTTAAAGACAATCATGAAAAATCAGTTACCTTAACAAGATGAGCAATTCTTGCTGGAGACTGAAAGATGATCCACTCATCTACAGCTATCGTTTCCTGATCATTATCCTTCTGGATGGAAATATCACCGCCAAAGAATAAGAGACAGTATGGAGAAACCTCTGTGCAGTCATATAAGTATATCTGTAAAGAGAGTTAAAGGATATCAATACCTTCAGGAGACTCTAAAGATTACTGCGACATTAATTCAATAATAACACCAGTATCAACTGATAATTCTAAAGTAGGTATTATTCCTGTTATAATTAGACTAATTGTGAATACCACTTTAAACTATTCTTTAATAATTCAGAGAACTTAAGTTTTATGTTTGTTTCAATTTAACAATGACAGCATCCTTTAAATATATTCTGAATGACTAAACTAAAATACTAACATAATTGAATTTAGTATATTTAAACTGAAACCGAGTTAATGTTCCGATGGATACTTGTATGATAAACTGAAATGCTACAAAAATTCTTTGCATAAAGTAAACTCCTTTAATACCAGTATTTCTTGAAAGGAAGCTCTGAAAGAAAATTATGAAAATTAAACAACCATCCCATATTAAAATACAAACATAATAACAGATGTACACATCAGATCTGTTAGGTTATTGGGCCTTATGATGTCGTAGAGGTTAAGTCTCAGTGCTATCACCATCCCCAGCCAGGGAGCTAATCCATATATATAGCACAGCAGACCTCTCCGCTACTCCCCTCAGCAGTGGATTTCAGTAGATCTGCCTGCTCTGCTCCCCAATGTCTCCACTGAATCCTCTCACACCCCTATGCCCCTGCACCTATGGCCTTAAATTCCCAGCTCTATGTATAAACAAATAAACATTAAATAATAAAGTTACAGGTTATTTAAGGAAACTAATTCATGTCAGATATTTTTAAATAACAAATTTTGTTTATAATTGCAAAAACTATATTTTATAATTAAAACAGACTGTCCAAATCCTTGATTATTTTAAATATTCACTCACACTACTTGTTCTCATCTTCAGGTGATAAATAAGCCAATTGTAGTGAAATTCTGTTTGCTCCACATTAACAGATTTAGGATGAATAGCAACCAGTCCATCAGTTTTTGTATAAACTTTCACCCTTAAAAAAAATAAATAAATGGGAGTTTGTTTAAAAACATCCTGAGATTTCAATTCAATTCCAGAATCTAAAAGAACTACATGAATAAGTTTAATTTTGCAAGTAAAAATATTTATGGAAAGAACAAAACTTTTATTTTGGTAAAACATGGAAAAATACTAGCAAAATGTGAAATCTCAATAAATCATAAAATGAAAATTCTTTGTGCAATTGTAAGATTTTGTGATTATCTTATATTATAGCACCAAAGAATAAAGAATGAAATGAATGTCTAATAATTCCTAGTCGGTCTGATCAAGAGGACAGTATACAATAATCAAGAATATTGTTATTATCAATCACAATACTCACAAATAGCTCTCAATTTAGAGAATTTCATGAAATGATCAATTAAAAAATTTCACAGGTGGTGGACCCAGATGAAGGAAAAAAAAAAAATGGTTTGGTTTAAAAGGGATTTTACTACTGATTTTAAGCTGAGTTTAACTATGATTTTTCAAAACCATTTAAAAAATGTATAAGTGAACTCACTTCATTCAAATCTCTCAATTTTAGAACAGGAATATTTAAAACAAATGCACTCTTACATAGGTCTACTGCAGTCTCTTTAATTTCTATGGTCTAGTATGTAGTAGTTATAAAGACTTTACAACTTGATTCACAATCTAATTAATATTACTTAACAGGAAAATGATTTATTTTGAAAAACTCAACAGTAATTACCTGTACCAGATAACCATGTAAAAATTATTTGTTTTAAATGTTGGCGAGGATGTGGAGAAAAAGGAACTCTCCTGCACTGCTGGTGGGAATGCAAACTAGTACTGTTTTGGAAAACTGTTTGGAGGTTCCTCAAACTGCTAAACATGGAGCTTCCCTATGACCCAGCAATCCCACTCTTAGGTATCTACCCAAAAGACACAAAAACACTGATTGAAAAAGATACTTGTACCCCCATGTTTATTGCTGCTTTATTTACAATTGGAAAAACATGGAAGCAGCCCAAATGCCCAAAAGTAGGTGACTGGATTAGAAAGATGTGGTACATATATACAATGGAATATTACTCAGCAACCAAAAAAGAGAAACACATGTCTTTTGCAGCAACTTGGATGGAGCTGGAAAAGATCATGCTTAGTGAGATAAGCCAGAAAGAGAAAGAAAAATACCGGATGTTTTCACTCATAGCAGGAGTATAATGGACCAGGCGAGAAAATAACAAAAATAATGAACAACCATATACCAGAGACATTCTGTGGGGGTGGAGTGGGGAATGGGATCAAAAATGGGGGGGGGGAAGGGAGGGAAATGCACGAGACCACGAGACTATGGTGGTGGCACAGGGGTGATTTGGTGATGGGAAACCCACGGGGATTACAATCGAGATGTAAAAAAAAAAAAAAATGTGCAAAATGATATAAAAATAAACTTTGTAATAAAAAACAAAACAAAACAAAATCATTTGTTTTAAAGGGTATCTTTCTCAAGGATGTAGGAATCCCTAACACCAAAAGTATATCTGTGTCATGATTCATTATTCAGAAAAATATTAAATTCTTTCCTTTACTACAGTCAATCTGACCAATTCTATCCTGCAACTCTACATCCCTAGAGCAACAGTGCAAGAGAGGAAATATTTTAAACCTTGTGGATCCTATGATCTCTGAACACATGGACTAAACTCTGATAGTGTGGCAGACACAGATAACATGCAAATGAACAGGCAAGGCTATGTTCAAATGAATAGAGAGACAAAAAAAATTTTCTGATCCTTGGTCTAGACCAAAACAAAGCACTGATGCTAAGAAAATTAAATTTTGTCATTAAAGCCTTCCCAGATGAAAGAGGGACATCAGAGTTTCTCTGTAAACTACTTTTTAAGACCAAGGAGAAATATTTAAAAAGAATTTGACAAACTACTGAAATGTTCTGTAAGACACAGAATTATAAAAATGTATGTTTCCCTCTATTATGTAGCTTACTAATGACTTGATACATAATTCTAAATCACATTTAATTCCAAAAGGGTAACACCAATTCACATACCATTAGCCTTTTGTAACTGTTTTCTCACTACATGTGCTCATTTACTATGCAAAAATACACCCTTATTATCTCCTACTGAAACTATTTAAACATGAAAATTGTACTTTATTTCTCCTAATGGTCAAGTCACCATTTAACTAAACTACATATTATCCATCAAGAAAAACAAAATACTTGAATAATTATTTATTTTAAACAATTATTTAAAAGACAATATCTGGCTTGCTTTTCTTAAATTTAGTGTATTATATTTTACTAACATTCTTTGTGACTCAGGGATATATTGTTAGGGAAAAGTATTACTACCCTATATTAAGAACAAAGTTATAATTCCTATTATAATAGAGGATGGCAAAGGCATATGGAGAAAACTACCACCAATTCATAATAATATTCAATGCTTACATTTTTCTTTTTTTGCCCAAATTTAGTCGGATTTTGGCAACTTTGGGATATAAACCAGCACAAATGACAGCTTTAATTATCTTCTCATTATCTATTGGAGGTGGGAAGACAAAGGCAAAAAAAGTAAAATACTGAACAATAGATGATAACAGCAAGTCATTTACACCGTATTATTTTGCTTTACCTGAATTTATATTAGATTTTGGATCTTTAGGATTTCTACTGCTTACAAATCCAGCGCCAAGAAGATGCTCAGCAAACTGTCCTTTCATGTTATGCAGCATCTAGGAAGCAATAATAACAGTACTAGAACATTTTTTTAATGAGATTTATAGTGGTTATGAAGCAGAGACACCTAAATAAATGAAGCCTAAGCTTTTCTCACTTTATAAAACGCTTCTGTGAAAATTGTAATGTTTTAAAGCAGGAGCTGAAAACCTGAAAAATTTACAAAACCATACTTTTTGTCAATAAAATTTTACTGGAATGCAGCCATACCTATTAACTTATATGGTTGTTTCAGGCCAGAATGGCAGGTATAGATGGTTTCAACAAAGGCCACATGATTCTAAGCCTAAAGTATTTAGTATCTGATTTTACAGAAAAGCTCTGTTGTAAAGGAAAGCCAATCAAGTTTTAAGGACTATTCCATTTTGCAGATTCAAATTCATAGACTTAAAATCTCCACGCTGTATTTAAAAAAAAATGAAAAAAAAAAAGAATATTTTTATTACAGTGGATTAACTATTGTTACATACCAGCACAGAAAGTAAGACTTTTTATTTTTTAAAGAAAAGTGACTATCTAGGTAAAAATGACATATAGCTCATTATAAAGCAATTAAATTGTACCAAAAAGTACAAGTGAATAAAGTTTCCTAAACTCAACAGAGTTGAGGTAAACAATACTGCACATACTATGCATATATATTGACAAGATCAAACAAATTCTATTCTAACAATGGCAGCACAGTACAAAAGCTGTTTTTATAAGTGTTAACATTAGTTTTTAGTTCAGCTGAAGAAAGTTAAACAGAAATGAACTCAACTAGACAAAGCTTACAATTTCAGAATCACAAGATACTTAAAGGATATCTGTAAACTTAAAATAAGAGGTTATGGGGCCCTCCCTGGTGGTGCAGCAGGTGAAGTGCAGCATTGTGAGGCTGGCAGCTGCAGCCCTGGGTGCAAGTTTGATCCCCACCCTAGAGGTGATAGACACGACCTGGCAGACCTCTCCTATCTCGTCTTCTGCTTCCTTCAGCAGTGTACTTCATCAAGCTGCCTGTTCTGCTCCCTACGCTGACTATGGTGAATCCTCTTACCACGCCCCTGCACATCTGGCCTATACCACAGTTCTGTATGCATAAATAAATAAATCTTAAAAAAAAAGTTACAAAATTAAAGTCTGTTGTATTTAAATTTCCCTTTTAAGTTATGTTGACTTCAATTATCCCACCAAATTTTCTTATTACTCTTCAGTATCTTTTTAAAAAGATTTTAAAAATGCATTTATTATTTATGCATACAAGAACTAGGGGACAGGCAAAAGGTGCAGAGGGTGAGTGGATTCACTAGAGACACAGTGGGGAGCAAGACAGATGAATCTACTGAAATACACTGCTGTGGAAAGCAGCTGGCCAGACAGGAGAGGTCTGCTACACCATGTGGGTCAGCTCCCTGGCCGAGGTCTGCTACACCATGTGGGTCAGCTCCCTGGCCGAGGCTAGAACTCAGGCTACAGTGACTGGCTATAGTTTTATCATGCTTAGACTTTAACCCTTTGTGCCACCAGGGAGGCCTCTACCCTTCAACTTCTTGACTACATAGTGTCAAATAATCTTGGAGGCAGTCATCTTTTCATACTGTGGTTCATTTGAGTTATTTCTACTTGACAAAAATGTTTTCGTAATACACACATTTAATGACACTTGGGTTGTCAAAAATGTCATGACACAGTTTTGCTTGAAAAAACAGAAAAAGAGACTCCCTGGCGGCGCAATAGGTTAAAGTGAAGCACTATGAGGCTATACACAGCCACTGCAGCACAATTTCAATCCCTGGCCAGGGACCTGACCCATGAGATGCAGTAAACCTCTCACCTGCTGCTCCCTGCTCCCCTCAGTAATATCTTTCCGTCTATCTGCCTATCGGTTTCCATGCTGTCTCTGGTGAATCCTCTCACCTTCCGTACCTCTGGTCAGTACCCCAGTTGTTGTGTGCATTAGTAAATCTTTTTTGAAAAGAAAAAAAAAATACATCATGACTTTTCTGTCAACCCAGTACAATTTATTTGCCCACTTTCCTCTTATACAATGCATCCTATACTGTGTTTTCTTGCTCACCAAACATGTAAAGACAAAGATATCTATCTGAAATTTCAGTTAAAGATATTCACCACTTGCCCTACTTATTTTAAAATATATTTTAGGAATACCAGTGAAAATTTTCAGCTTGAATCATCGCAATGGCAAATAAAGGTCGGGGCAAGAACTAAGGCCTACTGTACTCTCCCAATATACTCTAGAATTTTGTTTCTTTTATACACTGTTAAGTATATATTGATTGCATTTTATATCTTTTCGTATTTTATTACAGTTGTTTTAATTAACAATATCCTTTCTATTATCTGGAACATAATTTAACTTCCTTTGACAAATTTGCACAACTTTTAACTTTTTGCTAATCATGATACAAAATATGCATATTTACATATCTTATACAAGAATTACTTTAAAACATTTGAGTACAATAAATCAGAAGGAGAAACACAAGTAACAGAAGGTGTCACATATGTGGAATACAGAGAAGCCAAAGGGTTGGATCAAGTCCAACTTGAAAACTGACTAAAGAACTGACACACCCAGAGGAAGGTGAGAAAACTTGTGGAGGGAGCACAGTGGAGTATGGAGGCGGCTTAGGATACTCTGTATGGTACCAGGTGCACTGCAGTACAACACCCCAAGGACAAGATCAAAAATATACCCAACTATGTCAACCATGTTACCAAAGTAAAAAATAGGAGTTTATAGAGGAAACAACAACAACAACAATAAAACAACATTTTACCTGCAGTGTGTTTGAAGAGAGAAAATATTCCCAGCAATAATCTTTTTCATATCTGAAACCACGCTGTCTGGCTTCTTCCCAACCCTATGGGGCCAAAAAAAACCCAAAAAACCAAAAAACTGTTGTTAGCCAAAGCAAGGAATGCTTACTAGTTTTTACTAGTTTGTCTTTATTTCTGCATCAAATTACTGATATTACTGATTTTGTATAAAGTTAAAGGAATTTGAAATATGCAAAATTTTTAAAAATTTAAAAATAAAAACCATAAAATTCCCATGATCAAGTTGTTGAAATAATAATTTCCGAAGACCTTTATACACATATATTATATAGTGACAATGTGTATTTTACACAAAATGACATCACAGTCTGAAACACAGCAATAATAAAAAAAGTTATTGCACAAATTTCAGTTATTCATACTTTCAACTTCACAAATGAAGTTTCTTTTTTTCTTTTTAGCTAGCAGTGGGGGGCTGGGGGTAGTGATAGGCAAATGATACTGAATAAACAAACAAAAAAAAAACCTTTCCCATAATACGTAATATAAAACTTAGTCTAAAACTACAGTGAGAAGATGCTCTCTAACTCAAAGTACATTTAAATTTTGCAAAAATGGGTTACAAATATTTATTCTTAGAAAATCCTGACTTTTGTTAGTAAGTAGGTCTCTCTAATCTGATAATACACAATTATGACAATCTATCAGAATGCTGATTCTAAATATAGGCATAGCTTACTAGTAAAAACAAAGAGGCCTGTCATGAATGTCTATAAAAATAAAGACACGGGCCCTCCCTGGTGGCACAGCGGGTTAAAGCACTGCACTAAGAAGCTAAAGCCACTTCCGCATGAGTTCGATCCCCGCCTGCCCCAGAGGTGATCCACATGATGTGGCAGACCTCTCCTGACCCACCCGCTGCTCCCCTCAGTAGTGTACTTCATTTATCTGCCTGTTTGCTCCCCACTCTGTGTGTGGTGAATCCTCTCACCATCCCTGCCCCTCTGGCCTGTACCCAGTTATGTATCATAAATAAATAAATCTTTTAAAAAAACAAAAATTAAAGACACCTATGAATAAAGTCAGATGAAATTTAAAAACAAATTTTCATTTGTTCTATTCTCATAATACAAATACAGACTTATTTCCCTAAAGGATAAATAAAATGGGTTAAATAATGTACAATTCTTTTCTAATGCTCACCTAACATTCTCATAACACTAATTTATTATGCATACCTACAATAACAGAAAATTTAAAAGGTCAAATCTATTCCTACTTTCTTATCAGCTTTCATTTGAATAAACTGTTACAATCCAGAATAAGTTATTCTTACTGCAAATGCATTCACGACGGTCAGGTGGTCACTTTTAGTATCCTTTGCCAACTCTTTTCTTCTTGCATCTGCAATCTTCTCTTTTCCCTTAAAAAATAACAGATAAAAGCAACTGATATTGCTCTATGCTATATAACAGAGAATATCATTCAAATAAAAAGGTAACGGACAATAAATCTAAGCCACAATTATTAAAGCCAATACACATATGAAAATGATGTTTTTTGTATCTTTCTTACCAGTGGAATAACAAAGGGATCTTTAAAACTGAGACTGGCAGCAATGGTGAGTACTGGATCTAAGCAACAGAACAGAGCTCCAAAAAGAATCATTTTCCCAATATGTGGCTCAACTGGTAATCGTGCTAAGTGGACTCCAAGAGGTGTCAATTCTTCTTGTTTATCCAAAGCATTCTGTAAAGTAAGAGTGTTTGTTTAAAATGTGTATTGTAAAGCATCACATTTAAATACATTTTAGTCTACAGTGAAAACAACAAAATGTGAAAACCTAATCTCTTAGTCCTAATTGTGCTCAGCTTTAGTTTCCTTTATCAAACCAAAGTTCAGAGGCCAGTAAAAGGCCAAAACCAATTTAAATGAAACAAAAACTAATCTACAACTTGGCTTTATTTTAAGTGCAGGAAGAAAAACGAGAGAAATAAAACATTAGCAAATTTTCTAAGAAAAGAAAGCCACCCAGTACAGTATAAGAGCAATGGATAAAACAAACAAAAAAGGACACACATATGTTTGGAATACACAATGTATAGATAGATTCTAGTAGTTCAGGAGGCATGTGACACAGGAAAGTTAAGCAATATTGGGAGTAGAAGATGACTGGAAAAGAAAGAATAAAACTAGAGATGTGTATTCAGGAATTATCAGAATGACCAATTTCATTTCTATATATAAGAATAATAAGAAAATGAAAATTTTTGAAAAGCAGAATTCTAAAATACCACTAAGAAGTAAATCTTAAAGAGATTTCCCAAAGCACAGCATTAAGAAGCTAAAGCCACTTCCGCATGACTTCGATCCCCGCCTGCCTGGAGGTGACCCACATGGCCCAGCAGACCTCTCCTGACTGGCCCGCTGCTCCCCTCAGCAGTATATGTTTGATGTTCTGTCTGTTTTGCTCTCCACCCACTCTGTCTCTGGTGAATCCTCTCACCATCCCTGCAACTCTGGCCTGTTCTCCAGTTCTGTATGCACAAATAAATCAATCTTAAAAAAAAAAAAAAAGATTTCTTACATAGAAGATACATAACCAGAGATTAAATATCTAAATAAAAGTTAATTTAACTATGTTCTTGTTTGGTAATATTAATTACCATCACTGGTACCGATGCCAGTTCATCCCATCTCAGTTTATTGATTGAATGTACATCTTAATCAAAATTCCAAGATTCTACCTAAAATGTATCTGAAAATATAAAACACTAAGAAGTTCAAGACACTCTTGAACAAGAATGAAGAGGAGTGACTTTCTCTGCCAGTGCAAGAGTTATTGTAAGTCAGAATAATTAAGGCAATGTGGCAGAGGCTCAGGACAGAAATACAAACTAACAGAGCCGATAGCGTCTATCTAAAAGTAGACATGCAAATTCAGACACACACTTCATCTATTGCAAAGACTGGAGAATAAGGAACGAACTTTTTTATCAATGATATCTGGTCAAGTGAATGGATCTACATATGCAAAACCTGTGATTTTTACCATACATACATACATACATACATACATACATACATACATACAAAAATGATTAGAAATCTAAATTGACATAAGATAAAATAGTTTAAAAAATAATTCTTGACCCTAGATAAAACACTAAGTACTAATGATCAAAAAGCAGTAATGAAGAAAAAGTCTGATATATTTAACTGTATTATAATTAGGAATTTTAATCCTAATCTGTAAAAATTCCCATCACAACTGAAAATTTTTTTTTGACCATTCTTATTGTATCAACATGAGATGATTCATGGTAATTATAATTACTGCAGTAATCATTTCACAATATATGGAGTCAAACTAGATGCTGTATACCTTACACTTAAAAGGTGATATAAGACAACTATATATTAATGAAGCTGCGGAAAAAATACAAACTTTAAAAAATCCAAACACTTGGGCCCTCCCTGGTGGCGCAGCGGGTTAAAGCACTGCACTGAGAAGCTAAAGCCACTTCCGCATGAGTTCGATTCCCGCCTGCCCCGGAGGTGACCATATGGTGTGGCAGACCTCTCCTGACCCACCCGCTGCTCCCCTCAGCAGTGTGCTTCGTCGATCTGCCTGTTCTGCTCCCCACTCTGTCTCTGGTGAAGCCTCTCACCGCCCCTGAGCCTCTAGCCTGTACCCCGGTTCTGTATGTACAAATAAATAAATCTTTAAAAAAAAAAAAAAATCCAAACACTTAAAAAGCAAATAAAAACATACATAATACACAACTGAAAAAGTGCCTAAATCAAGAGCATACAAGAAATATATAATGATCAGTGACATAAACAATTTCCAAATGGGCACCAACATGAGAAATTACTCAGAATTCAGTTAACAGTCATGGTAATAAAAATTATACTGCTAAGTGTTAAATTTTCTGATCCCTTAATCATTATGTAATGTCCATTTCTGTCTCTCAACAGTTATAACTGGAAGTTTATCCACTCATGTAAATATAATTATGTTTTGCCAAACATATTTTATGAGGTCAAAATTACCAAAAAGTACAACAAAAGCAACAAGGCAACTATGCACAAAAGTAATGCACACAGCAAAATCCCTGATAGCCACAGATGCAGATACAATAAAAATCTTAGCTAAATGAATTCAACAGTACATTAAGAGAATCATAAATCATGACAAACAGGATTTATTCCAGGGGGCAAGGATGGCTCAGCATATGCAAATATATCAATGCAATTCACAATATCCACAAAAGGAAAGACAAAATAATCATGATTAGATCCAAATAAACAGGAAGGCATCTGTCAAGATTCAGCATGCATTTATGATACTCACTTACTAAAACAGTAAATGGAATGGAAAGAACATACCTCAACAGAAAAAAAGACGACATATGCCAAAATCACATTAGTGTCATACTCAATGATGAGAAACTGAAAGCTTTCCCTCTAATATCAGGTACATGACAGACATGACCATTTTCACCACTAATGTTCAACATAGTATTAGGGGGTGGTGTAGTAGTAACCTACATCTGGGGAGGTATAAAGCCTATTTTCCTAAAGCATGTACAGTTTTCCTACAGCATCAACACTACTTCAATAAAGAGAAATAAAGTTAACAACTATTAACACCCATTAAGGGAAAAGAAAAACGTGTCATGGGTCTCACACTCTACTACTGGCAAGGATTTGCTTGCCTTTTACACAATTTTGTGACCTATCATTACAGGTTTTTACAATGTCATTACAGGCCTGGCTTTACAATGGTAAAGATGGACTCTGATTTAATACGGAATGAGGCAATCATTTCACTCGGCTTCAGAATACTGCTGAATCCTTTGGTTTTCCGTACATTTCTATTATACTGGTTTTCTTTTCATCACTCAGCTTTTCACAGCTATACTATACTAGCTAGAAGCAATCAGGGAAAAAAGAGGTAAAGCTGCAACATTACCCCAAAACTAGTAAGTTCAATAAATCTAATCCAAACTCAACAAAGATGCTGAAACAATTTACAATGTTTTATTCATTTAAACAACTTACTACTCACATTAAAAGCTCTACAGTGTTCTGAAATGGGCCAAGTTCTCAAAACTTATCTGCATGTTTAGTATAAAATAAACTGAAGAATGTAAAATACATCTTTGGTATCTTATTCAACACTAATCAACAGAATGTTGGTGCAAATATTCCATTTCTGTGCTGTTTACAATGGCAGACACTAGTCACATGTATTTACTTAATATCTGAAAAGTGGGGGTGTAAAAGATACTAAATTTGTAACTTAATTCAAAATTCAAATTGAGGTAGTCACATGTTGGGTAGTGGCTACTACACTGGACAGCTACAGCTGTAGCTTTATCCCCTCTCATTTCCCTCTGGTGTTGACTCCTTTGTGTTTTTCAGTGTGGTCTTGCAGAGAATGTCTCTCAGCCTGACTAATGCATTGAAACAAATTTCTCAAAAGACTGACTTCCTAAAAGAACAAAGGAAATGAGAAAACACTGTTTGGAAAAAAAGTTATGAGAGTATAATGACAGACTGAGTAGAAGGGAAAAAGTAAGATATTTTGGAGAAAAAAAAAACTTGTTTGCATTCCTTCAAAAATACCTGAATTTGACAAAAAAAAAAACCTAATAATATAAGAAAGACTAGAAAGGCAAAATTTATTTGAATACAAATAGAGACAAAGAAATTAAGTGAGTTGAAATTTTATATGATTTTAAATCAGGCCTATAGCAAACTGAAAATGAAAAATCAGGCCTATAGCAAACTGAAAATGAAAATGAAAATAGCAAAACATCCCAGTATGATAAGAACAACACAAAGACATCTCTATAAATTTCAAAAGCAAGATTCCTATGCGAAGCTTCAGTCAAACAGTGAATCAAATCTGACACTAGTAAATTTTATGATTAGTGGGCTTACATGTTACAACACTGTAAGAATTTTTTTCAAATAATCAAATTTACCAGTTCCATAAGATGTTTTATGGAGAGTGACACTGCTTCGTTTGATGGTGGATCCATTAATCTACTTAGAAAATCAGCAATTCCACCTAGCCTTAAAATCTGGGGAAGAAAAATAATTAACATATAGTATATATTGAGATTACACTTTAGTCATGCATGTACCAAAGTGTCAAACCTAACATAATTTTCAGATTAGTATTTCATCTAAATAAATTAAATGGCAGTTCAATTCTATAAAAATGTGTTTAAAGGCCAACAGACTATTTTCTACCAGTAGTCTAGTAAGAAAAGTAGCTGACGAAAATCTCAACGAACGAGTCTCAACTTTCAAAATTAAGAAAGCTAACTTTATCAAATATTTAGTAATGTGCTGAAAAATGTTAAGTAGTTTATAATGAAAGATAACATCTTAAGATATAATAATAGTAGCTAACATTTACTGAGAAGATCTATATACCTATGTATTCTGAGAATTTTCTGAGGTTAATTTAAATAATTTGCTCATTGTAACAGAACTATCTTGTCAGGGGAGGGTGGGGTTCAAACAGAGGCTAGACAGTAAGTACAGATTAAAATCTGTTTAAGGCAAATTAAAGCACACAGTTTACTACCACATATACCAGAAAACAAATGCCTGGTATTGATTCCTTTTTTCAGATTAATAAATGATTTTCCTTTCCATAAAAAGTGGTAAAAAGTAGAACACACCTCCACTTAGTTTCTTAGCTTCCCCATCTACTTTACCTTGATTTGTAAACAAAGTTCTTCCAAAGGAGTTCTCAAAATTTCTGGCAGCTGATAGTCATCTAGAAGGCTTGCTCTAAGACCATTATACAGATGATAGCAATGACCAGGCTGAACTCTAAGAAGAACAAAGGAAAAAGGGAAAGCTATCAATAATGTCTTAGCTCTTCAGAGAAAAACACTGCAATATGTGTTTTCTATAAGCCATGTCATGACTAATTTTGCTTCATTATTTCATTTTTGCCAGCCATTTATTCCTTCTCATCTGTTTGGAATAACCTAAAATCCACCTGCCCCATGTCCAAGGTTTAAGAAATACAAGATTTCCTACTCTGACTCCCATATTTCCCATATTTTACTTTATAGATACAGATTATATACTAATAGCAATCTATTAGGCTAATCTCAAAATATCTCATGAACATTTTATGTGATAAGTCTTGGCAGTATGTTATCCTACTTACATTATTATTAAAAAGCTGTAAAGTATGTGATTTTTAGTAGGAAAATTCTTCTTAATGTTTGCAACTTATGACATGCATGATTCTTTGAAGTATTCAATATAGAAGTAAGAGGTGCAGGTACAGATGTGTTTTCAAGAAGAAATATTTCAATGAGTTCCTGTTACATGAAAGGGATACCCTTTACCTATAGGAGTAAAATCTTATTCATTTCTAATTAAAACCTACCTTCTATTATATAACATGGCTGTAGAAACTAAAAACACAAAGATACTTCCATTGAGAATCATGCTTGTGCTGACCTTCAAAATAATTATAAATCTAAACAGGCTTTGTTGAAGGCATTTATAATGTACTCTCCTACAAAGGAATATTCTCATTTGAATTGAACCAATGTAGTCTATTTAAACTCCACACAGTGGGGACGTAGAACTAGATAAAATATAATACTATACTTTTTTTCGGGGCCCTCCTTGGTGGTGCAATGGGTTAGGATGCTGCACTGCAAGCTAGCTGCAGCCACTTCAGTGTTGAGTTCTATCCCCGACTCCAGAGGTGATCCACATGGCGTGGCACACCTCTCCTGGCCCGCCCGCTGCTCCCCTCAGCAGTGTACTTCATCAGTTGGCCTGTTCCACTCTGCTCTCACCACCCCCTGCAACTCTGGCTTGTATCCCAGTTCTGTATGCATAAATAAACAAATCTTTAAAAAAAAAAATACTATACTCTTTTTCATAACTCTTTCATGGTTCAGACTTGCAGCCCATTGTGTTTATCATTCGTATATAAAGAGAGACCAAAAGCCCTCCACTATGGTAAATATGTTTGAATCAACGTCCAGTAGTGGTTAAGTCTGTATAGGAATACTCCAGCCTTGCCCTATCAAGTTATCCCCTTGATAACTGATCACATGATTTGATATTTAAGTAGTATTTGTAATTATTGTAATAATGTTTAAAAAAGGAAACAATTTAAGAATAAAGAATAATTTTAGCTAAACAGACTGAAGAATCAGAGGTAGAAAAGGATTTTTCCAAAGAAACTATGATTCAAACTTTTCCAATTAAAAATGCATCAGTGAAAGGCCAGTAAAAATAGCTGCAACACCGCTTGCTACAAAAAATCTTTTACTTTTTTAGTTGTAAAAGTTTAAGACAAGGCCCTCCCTGGTGGCGCAGCGGGTTAAAGCACTGCACTGAGAAGCTAAAGCCACTTCCGCATGAGTTCGATTCCCGCCTGCCCCGGAGGAGACCACATGGCGTGGCAGACCTCTCCTGACCCGCCCGCTGCTCCCCTCAGCAGTGTACTTTGTCTATCTGCCTGTTCTGTTCCCCACTGTCTCTGGTGAAGCCTCTCACCGCCCCTGAGCCTCTGGCCTGTACCCCAGTTCTGTATGTACAAATAAATAAATCTTAAAAAAAAAAAAAAAAAAAGTTTAAGACAAAAGGGTTCACTTACCTTCCAGCTCGACCTTTCCTTTGTTTGGCATTAGCATTACTAACCCATTCAGCAGACATTGTACTTATGTTGTTCTGTGTGTCAAAATGTGTCTCCTTTATTTTTCCTCCGTCTATCACATATACTACGTCATCTATAGTAATGCTGTTTAGAAAATGAATATATCAACAATCCATTAGCCTACTGTAGAGATATTAGAGGTTCTACTGAGAAAAACAAACTAGTGACTGTACTATGTATTAGTGTCTGTAAGACAATGAAAGCAAATGTATGGGAACTAAGTTGGTGCAATCATTTTGGAAAAATGGAACTTCCTCAAAACAAAGGTAAAAAGCCAATATATAATCCTGGTGCCCAGCCAAAGAACATAAAATAAAAACCTTAGAGAGTTTTAAGGACATGTTTACTATAGCATTATATACAACAGTAAAGGAAACAACATGAGAGACCACTGATAAATGATTAGCTACAGAAAATGTGGTATATATAAACAATGTAATCGTAATTTAGTTATGAAGAAAATGTTGCCATTTGCAAGAAAATGGAATGACATCAAGGGGGTTGTATGAAGCAAAATAAATTACAAGAAAGACAAAAACTGGATCATTCCATTGAGATATGTAATTTAAGTGACAAAGCAGATGGATGGACAAAACAAACCAGAGAATACCTATGACAGAACTCAGGAAAAGAAGGAAAATTGTTATAAATAAAAAATGTCAAGACTAAACATTCAATAATCAAATTACCATAAAATGGTAAAAAAGAACAAAATTAACTTCAGTTTCCATATTTTTGAAAAAACTTCTTGAAAAAAGACTGTATCTGAAAAGGGCTCAAACAGTGTAAACTGAAAAGAAAAAGAAAACTATTTCCATTGCAAGGACTATATTAAAATTACTACTTTTAATAGTGATAAAGGACTAATCACAAAAATATAGAGAACTGACGAAACTCAACAAAAATAAACCCCAAACCCTATCAAAAAAATGGGCATAAGAGCTAAAAAGACACTTCTCCAAAGTGTCAACAAGCATATGAAAAAATGTTCAACATCACTCGTAATAAGGGAGATGCAAATTAAAACCACAATGAGATACCACCTCACCCCAGTGAGAATGGCACATCTTCAAACAACTAGCAACAGCAAATGTTGGCGAGGATGTGGAGAAAAAGGAACTCTCCTGCACTGCTGGTGGGAATGCAAACTAGTACAACCACTATGAAAAACTGTTTGGAGGTTCCTCAAACTGCTAAACATGGAGCTTCCCTACGACCCAGCAATCCCACTCCTAGGTATCTCCCTAAAGAAATAAAAACATTGATTGAAAAAGATACCTGCACCCCCATGTTTACTGCTGCTTTATTTACAATTGGAAAAATATGGAAGCAGCCCAAATGTCCAAAAGTAGATGACTGGATTAAAAAGATGTGGTACATATATACAATACAATATTACTCAGCAACCAAAAAAGAGAAACACATGTCTTTCACAGCAACTTGAATGGAGCTGGAAAAGATCATGCTTAGTGAGATAAGCCAGAAAGAGAAAGAAAAATACCGGATGGTTTCACTCATAGCAGGAGTATAATGGACCAGGCGAGAAAATAACAGGAATAATGAACAGCTATATACCAGAGATATTTTGTGGGAGTGGGGTGGGGAATGGGATAAAAAATGGGGGGGCGGAGAGGGAAGTGCACGGGATTATGGTGATGGCACACGGGTGACTTGGCGATGGGAAACCCGTGGGGATTACAATTGAGATGGAACAAAAAAATGTACAAAATGATGTAAAAACAAACATAAAAAAAAAGTATCAAAACAAAACAAAAAAATTTGCTACTTTTAAAAAACTACTAAAGACTTAAAAAAAAAAAAGGTTAACAATTATGGGGCTCAGACTAATGTAATCACTAGTAATTGATAAATAAAATAATTTTTACCTAGTCTCTGCAATGTTGGTAGCAATTACTATTTTCCGAACACCAGGAGGAGTTCTTTTAAATACCTGTAAGAATAAAAACATCCAAATTCCTCAAGTACACTAGTTTCTGATACAGTATTCTTCCAATTAGAGGAATTACTTTAGATACTATTCATCTTTAGCATTGTGTTCATTCATTGACATATGTATGAATCTAATAAATATTTTAAAAGATATATATTTATAAACATGTATCTAATTACTATAATGTTCCCTTTGACTTATCAAAATCCCCCATAGATGTCAAAACCTTATTATTACAAACAAGATTTTAAATGAAATGTGGTAAGTTCAACTTACAGAATGTTTTAAACTAAAAACAGAAAGCATAATATCTTAAGTTTAAAGATAAGAAATGAATTATGAGGAACTATGAGTAAGGGCAAAATCGACCAAGCAAGTGTCTAACACATCAGAATGCAAGAGAGCGGCCTATACCAGCATATAGCACCAGAGATCACATGATTTAAAAATTAACCCTTTTCAAACACCAACTACTACAAAGCCACTTATGACAAAACCATCCAAGTAGAAGGAAGACACATGCCACTTGTCTATCATATTAAAGCCACTAGCACATGATGTGGTATTTGGAATTCAAGTACTACTTACCAAAAAAAAAAAAAAAAAGTGCAAAAACTTCCCCCATACTTATTTAAAAAACAAAAAGGGAATCGGTTGAGAAAACCTGTTTTCCAGCCTACTCACATATTCACTCTCTTCCAAAAGAGTAAGTCACTACTACGGTATCAGTGACAGAAGTACTGCTCACACTGAATAAATACACTTAACGCAGTCTCTGGAATCAAGAAATCTATCTTTGCCTTTCTCTTCCCTCAGGTATAAACTCTTCCCTCAGGTATAAATTAGCTGGCAAAGCCTTACCTAAGGTTAAGGTACTAGTGGAGTAAAAAGGTGTCTTGATATTGTGGGACAAAACAAGTAGAAAACTAGAAAAGAAAGTAGACCTTCAAATCCATCTCATTCTACCACTGCCTGCAAGTACTAAGTTCAAAAATTGAACTTCTCATTCAAAATGCAAAATCCATTCCAATAAAGTAAGTCTCTAACTATGAGTCAAAACATTTAAAAATATAATCCAGTATTGATAAAAAAAAATCTCTATGAGCACACAGACCAAATCTGTTCTATCAAAATCTCAAATATCAAGTTACAGTATGTCATATTATTTTATTTCTAGGTTGAACTTTTTTTTTAAAACTGGTATTCACATACTTTTTTCTTTTATTTAGGAAACCCAAGCAAGTTATTAGTGAAACCAATCTTTAAATTTTTCCCTAACTTGGACAAGCTAACTTGATCTGTGGATTACCCTCTACTCAGGTTTTTATGCAACCATCCTTTAAAGGCTCACTTGAAAGATTCCCAAAGAATTACTTTTTGTAATGAATACTATTTGAAAAGGTGCCTTAAACAAAAACAAAAAACAAAAACAAACAAAAAAAACACACATACACAGTGAGTAGTCCTCTTTAGTTTGAAAGACAGTATAAAAACTTAAAAGCATACCTGTGTCTGGTTAACTGTTGGCATCAGTGAATGTAAAGGTATAATAAGAAACTTATCTGAAAATTAAAAAGAAATTAAACTTTCAGATAAATAGTTGCAAAAAAGCTCCAGCAGATACATAGAGGACAATGAATTCAGATGCTAAGCCACTTAATTTTTAGTTTACACTCCTATGATTAGACCACATTTTTCTTTCACATTTTGTTTTCTGAGTGTTTCAACAAGTTCTTGTCAACATTTTGTTCATTTCATATTGTTGAAGTGTATTCCCAAATTCTTAAAGAATGCTCAGAAATGGGAGCAATCCTTTCAAATTATACTGGAAAAGCACGATTAACTTCATTTCTACCATTTAATTACACCACAGCTTTTTCTTAATATGAAAATATGAGTGACAAAGAAAAGTCATGGTAATCATCTTTTTCCAGCTTGAAAACAGTAAATAATTTGGGAATATTTTCAAGGCATTACTGTATGCAATTTAACAAAGAAAAAAAAATGACCTTTACTATCATAGCCAATACAACTACACCAAAATGATTTTTAAAAGTCTTATAAGAATAAAAAGAGGCATACACACTATCTACAGAGTTAAGTTAGACGTCATAGAGCTAAAATAATACTAACTAGAATTTGCTTTGTATTTTACTAAATTTAAGTTAATGATTCCTGAAAATTATTTTATTTTTTTAACTGGATATTGGGTACATCATATTCTCAGACAGTAATGAAAATTCAACTTGATTTTTAAAAAAGATTTATTTATTTATTCATACAGAATTGGGGTACAGGCCAGAGGCATGGGGCAGTGAGAGGATTCACCAGAGACAGAGCGGAGAGCAGAACAGGCAGACTGATGAGGTACACTGCTGAGGGGAGCAGTGGGCAAGGCAGGAGGTCTGCCACACTGTGTGGATCACTTCCAGGGCTGGGATTTAACTCGCACTGAAGTGGCTGCAGCTCGCTTGCAGTGCTGCTCTTTAACCCACTGCACCACCATGGAGGGTCCCCTGAAAATTCTTTAATAAATCTTATAGACAAGAATACAGGTACCCTCACATTTACCTAAAACATAAGAGGCCTTATATATCAAAACAGAAATACAATCACCAGAGGAATTTTTAAATACTTCAGATGTTTAGGATACACATTCTTAGATGTGGGAGTGGATGGAGTCTGTTATCTGAATTTAAAAAAGATGCCATGGGTGATGCTGTTGTATAGTCAGAGCTGAGAAATACTGGGCTAAAGGATAAATTCAAACTTCTTTTCTGCCCAACAAAATGAAGGAAAAATCAAATAACCTCAAATGCCAACATCTTATCTTTAAGCTTCAACCTTATTAGGCAAATTCAGGAATGGATGCAAGACTTTCTTACCAATATAACACATAAAGAACTTCACTACATACGCACCATCTTTATCTGTGACCTAGACCTTAAGGTTCCTGCACTGAGATGACCTCTGAAGTAATACTTCAAATGAAGGAGGGGGAAAATTGTGTTACCTGTGACTCAAGTACTATTGCTGGAATTGCAGTTAAGATACATTTCTATAATACCTGATTTAAACATCACTTGTGACATCAGGAGATCATGTAAAGTGCTGATATTGTCCCAGCCTGGTAGAAAGACCAATATTGCTCCGTCCTGTATAAGGGAAGAAGAAATCTTCATTACAAAAGTACTAAGGCAAAATTCTGTACATACTTAAGTCATTAAAATTATATTAGTATATGATAATTTTAATTACAGGTAAAGAATATCAATTCATTTCAAGAAAATACAACTTATAACCCAGGTATTTCATTTGTTTAATCTTTCCTTAAGGAGGATACTGAAACCGTTAGGGATTTTAAGATTCTTATTTCTACTGTTAAAGCAATTACTTCCACTGGACATTTTTTAAAAGTATTTTAGAATATTATTTTTCTTCTCTCATGGCCTTGATATAAAAATAAAATCAAAATTATATCACTTGAAGGAAAGAAAACTAACCTCTTCTTCCAAAACAATGTGTCGAATAAGAGCAGCAATAAGATTCAGATCAACTTTATCATCATCCATCATTTCTATGATATCTACAGTACTTGTAGAATATCTATCAAAATTAAATAGAAAGTCATGAAATATGTGGTAAAGTCTCCTCAGATTTAACATAATATAAAACCTGTAAAAATTAACTTGGTCTCCAAATGGAAGTATATAATTGACAGACAGAATTATTGGAATAATAATGTTTACAAGTCATATCAGTATAGTATCTAGCTGGAATGAGGCCTGCAGTACTCTCCTTAAATATATGCAAAGTCAAGGAGACAATCCCTGCATTTATTTTATTCATTGAGCCTCTAGGTTCTCTTTCAAACAAAATAAACGTACTTTCTTCGCAGTTCTCTTATATAATTGGGCCAACGTTCTTTATACATTGCTTCTTTTTCTTCTTTCTCTTGTCTATTTACATGCCCTTGCATGAAGCCTCTCTTAAATTGGGATCTGTGTTCTTTTTGTTCTGGAACATATCTAAAACAAAAACATTTTTAATTAAGTTTCACTATTTTCTGGCTTTAGCTAATCTATGAATTCACAGTAAGATTTTAAAAGAAGGATATAAAACATTTTCATTATTTTTTATAGTGAAAGATAATTATCGATTTGTAAATGTTTCTTAACATAAAACTCAATATTTTACCCTAAGAAAACCTATTTTTATTTTTCCTCTAAAAACCTAAACATCTAAATGATACTCAGCAACCAAAATTTAAAATACGCTAAATTTCACTTTCAGTTGTAGCCTGCTCTGAGATAAAAGTTCATATAACAAGTTCAACGTTAAAGCTGATGGTCTAGTAAATGACACATTTTGAAAAAGGGAGCTCTCCAAACATAGAATGCATATTAAAACCTCCTGGAGTTTACAAAATAAAGTTCATAAAATGTTAACTTAAAAAATCAAAAAGCCTATCCCTTATACTTTGGATTCAATGTTGGAATGGAGTTTTTATCAGTGCCCCATGAGATTTTCAGATAACATACCAAGACACCTGCAGACCTATGCAATACACAAGAGACCTACAGACCTGTACAAGTCCCAAAGAAAGAACTAAAGGCAAAGCCAGAATCATAATGCAAATTCTCAAATTTTTGTTCTGTGATTCCACTATGCTGCAATAACTACTAGCAAAACAAGGCACATCCATCCAAGTATGTTACCTGCCATGAGGGAAAAGGGGTTCTAAGGGGCCTAGTGTAAGAAGGTACAAAGAAAAATGTGTATTTTAGCACCAAACTCCCTCAGAGGTCACCAAGGGGAGATCATGTAGGAGTGAGGGAGCTGGAGTACAGGCTTTGTTAGTCAGCCAGGGACTGATGTTCTTGCTCTGCCACTGACTGGCTGAATGACCTTGGACAGGCGGGTAAAACCTGATCACTGGTTTTCTTAACTAAGAAACTAATGTTCTTATAAAAGAATTGACATGAAAATTTTAAAAAATGTGATAAAGCATAGTGCCTGGCACATAGCGGACCCAAAGCTGTTTTCCCCTCCTTATTCAGTACCTGTGACCTAGGGTTCCCCTAAGTCTTCAATACATATAAAGGCACCAACTAGAGGTAAGCAGAGCAACCTGGGAGAGAGTTTAATCCTGGTCAGAAGGATGAACCCAGCTGGCTCCCTTCCCATTTTCAAAAAAACAGAAGTAACTTCAGTCCCTCACACTAAGGACCCAATGAGGGCCCTCCATATCATCTCACTCTATAGTTCTTCCTTCCTAATTTCCTGTAGCACAGTACTTCTTCAGAGAAGGGAGTAGCTGTAGGCTTTCACCCCGGGGACCCCTCCTTTAACTTCCCCCTTGGGGTTAGCTAGGGCACAAATACTATACTTTTTGCTTCAGGAGATTATAGTCCCGTATGTATTCCCTGCCTTCTAGGAAGCAGTTAAACATTACATAACTTTAGATTACTGATCCCCAAAATTTTGCTTTTATTACTGTCAAGCTGTTTTCATTCTCTTAAAAAATCAACTGGTAAATATGTCATAGTAAGAAGTACAATTAATGGCAGAAAGTGAAATTGAGGAGGCATCCATTGATGACAAAAGCAGAGCATGAAGGGAAACACAGCCTCTCACTTTCAGCATGTTCTAGCCTCTCTGACATAAACCTCTCCCTCTTCCTACGGATTTCACTGTCTTGCCTAGCTGAACAATTTTATACAACCTTATTCTCAATACACTCCCCAGAACAGCTATATCACACATCGTATTTATGCTTCTGTGTGTATAGGGTAAGTTCTAAGGATGCCCACCATGTTTTTCTTAATTTATGTTCAGACCCTAGTGTACAATGCAAGGAATGAAGTTTGATAAACATCTGTTAAATAAACATCCACTCAAAATTCAGCAGATTTTTCTCCATGTAATATATATTCTAAAATCTTTATTCTCACATGCCCACTATCACCTCCTGATTTTTTTATTTAACAAATAATTTATGGAGTACTGAAAATTTTTATCACAAGTGTCCACATCTGTCGCTGTACAAATTTATACGTTTACTACAGACCAGGCACTGTACTATGCCCTAGTTACAATGACTAGGACAAAATCCTTGACCTTGAAAAATCTGAAATCAAATGCAAGAAGCAAATAAAAAGAAATATATTACATGTCAATAAGCTAAGTGAGACAGCACGTGAGAAAGTATAATAGTTGAGGATGGGGCAGCAAAAAATGACAGAGTAATGTGGTTACCAACTATGTAGAGCAGTTAACAAATCCTGGTATATAAATATTCTTTTGATTTCTAGCCTAGATTACTAGGTGACGATCCCACCAGTAACCACTATAATAAGGCTTTTGGGGCAAGACACGTTTCATTTTAATATTCTGATGGAATTATAAAAGGGATCGATTAGAAGCTAATGAATTTAGTTTGAAAAATATGAGGCTCAAGGTATCTATGGTTCTGGAATACTATATGGTGAGAGAACAAACTTATTTAGGAGGAGCTTCAGTTCTGATGCTGTAAGTCTCAAGAGTTGTAACTTACAGAACTATGATCATAAGGACTTCAGAGTGAAACTCTAAATAAAATACAGAGACAACTGACAACTCCTAGAGGGAATTCACATCTACAGTGGGCAATGGAAACCAGCAAGAAAATGGAAACCATGTAGAATGAAGTGAAATTCAAGTACTACAGACAAAGGTTCTCAAATTTTGCTATCTAGGAATCTTTAAAAATTATTGATTCTGGGCCCTCCCTGGTGGCGCAGCGGGTTAAAGCACTGCACTGAGAAGCTAAAGCCACTTCCGCATGAGTTCGATTCCCGCCTGCCCTGGAGGTGACCACATGGAGCAGCAGACCTCTCCTGACCCGCCCGCCGCTCCCCTCAGCAGTGTACTTCGTCGATCTGCCTGTTCTGCTCCCCACTCTGTCTCTGGTGAATCCTCTCACCCTCCGCATCTCTGGCCTGTACCCCAGTTCTGTACAAATAAATATTAAAAAAAAAAAAAAAATTATTGATTCTGGCTACCACCCAGAGTTTGCAATATATTTAGTTAAGGGGGGAGGGGGAATCGACTTATTTTTAAAAAGACTTATTTATGCATACAGAACTGGGGCACAAGCCAGAGTACCCCAGGGGTGGTGAGGCTTCACCGGAAACAGATTGGGGAGCAGAACAGGCCGAGTGACCAAGTACACTGCTGAGAGGAGCAGTGGGCAGGTCAGGAGAGGTCTGCCGGCCATGTGTGTCACCTCCGGGGTAGGCAGGGATCAAAGTCATGTGGAAGTGGATTTAGCTTCTTATTGCTGCATTTACCTGCTGTACCACCAAGGAGGGCCAGGAAATAGATTTTAAGAGGCTCCAAGTGATTTTAATGTGAAAGCAAGTTTAGGAATTCCTGATTTATGAAAAATGTCTTAAGAGGAAGTTGTTAATGGTGAATTTTGAGACCCACACATTTGACAGATGACATAGTAATAATTTTTAGTCTTATTTCCTGGTTTTACTTACCTTATTTTTTCAATTATATCTTCCAAAAGATACTCCACAACAGGAAAAGTAAAACCAGGTATGTGTATCATTGGACAGTTACCTATTATGATAAAGAAGACATGAATCTGGACTTAAGTGTTTAATAAAAAATGTCAACAGTTTTAAATGGCTATTACTATAAACATCAACAAAAGTCAACAGACTATATATATCTACTACTTGACTTCACAAAATATTCCTGGAACTTTTAGAGTTCTACCTTGTATTTCCATATTTAATTTAAAACATAAGCAGCAGTTGGACTTCATGCATATAATTTTACTGCTACCAAACTATACACATTTCTGTTTTACAAAGTACCCTAGAATATCAAAGAATGGAGCATTTTAAATTGGATTGAAAACCATTACCTAGAAGTCTTTTTGCCATTAGTTTTAAAAAATAGTTTCTTAATACTACTTAACACTGTAATTTAAATATTACTCTAATTTTGACCAAGTAAAATAAGAGTGTAACTGGGGGGAAAAGCCAACACTACACCAGAGGTCAAAATCTGAACTGTTATCACAGCTCTGCCTTTGACTTGCGTTAAGTTTAAACAAGTCACTCATTAGTTCTAGACATCTTATCCAAAAAAAAAAAAAGGCAGAATAGATCCATGTGCTTTTGAGGGTCAATTGGACTAAATACAGTAACACTTTATGTGTAGAAGAACTGGGGTATAAGCAGGGGGTGATAAGATCCACCAAACAAGAGTAGGGAGCAGAGCAGGTACATTTACTGAAATACACTGCTATGAGCAGCTGTGAGGTCTCCATTCCCATATGTGGGTCAGTTTCCTGGCTGGGGACTGAACTCAAGCCATTGGTGATAGCATTGAGACTTAACCCCTATACTACCAGGAGCCCAGGAACATTTAAATGTAGCTGAATTCCTTTTTAACTCTCCCATTTTTCTTCCTTCACCTCATAAGTGAAGCAGGAAACAAAGAATATTTTGTTTAGCTGAATTACAGCTAATGTGATTCAGTTTCAAACCCTCTTCCACCCTGTTTGTTATGCAATGTTGTATAAACTACTTAATGATTCTGTATTTTCTCATTTATAAAAATGGGAATAAAAGCACCTACTACACAAGGTCTCATGAGGATTAATGAAGACAGGAGTCACATAAGCCACTGGCACAAAGAGGTTCCATTAGCTATTGTTATTACGCTTATCATGAGCAAACCACCACCCTATCTTGTGATAGTACATAAATGAAAAAAAAATCACAAAATGGTAGGAAATTATCTAAATCTGTGATATGACTTCATTAAGTCACCTTAATTATTTGGTGTCACACCAATTCTTCACTACGAGCACAGAGATCATGACACCATCTAAGAACAGGACCAATTATTTACTCTGAAAGGCTAGTGAGTAGGATAACATTAAAATAAAATAAAATGCCAAAGATTTATTTTTATTGCTCTGTACTTAACACTGCACACGTTTAAAATATTTAATTATAAAGTTAGTAGTTTTGTGATAATTTTCTAAAGAAACACCAAATTTTACTCACCAAAATATTCTGAAAATTTCTCAGCATTCAAGGTTGCACTCATCAATATTACTTTCAGGTCAGGTCGGGAATTGAGCAGATCTTTAATCACAGTCATCAAAACATCTGACTGTAGATTTCTCTCATGGATTTCATCAAGCACAATATGACTAACACTAGACAAATGCCTGAAGCAGAAGCATGAAGTATGTAATCCAATAAAAAATTTAAACAGAAGCATTTTATGTTAGTAAAATTCAAAAACTATGATCAGTTACGTTACACTTTAGTAAATACTCCTTTTGGTATTTAATTAAATATCCTAAATTGAAACATACTCACGGGTCTGACTGAAGCCACTGGAGGATAATTCCTGTGGTACAATATAAGATTGAACCCTGTTTCCTTGGCAACCGACTGTGAATGAAAGACAAGAGTTAACAATTCTTGTTTTTATCTTTAATGAAATACCACAGAAGTTAAAAAGAAAATCTTAGTTTAAAATCAAATTTCAGTTTTAGTGAAAAATCTTCACACTTAATTTTTTAGGAATTCCTATTGCAATAGAATGTGAGTTACTATAGTCAATTTCACTCTTTTCACTGTCACTGTCACAACACAGTTCATTTGTTTTCAAGGCATAAACAGTAACATCTCAAAAACGAGAGAAAAACATGGGGTCCTACATTTGTTCAGTAAAATCAGTCTATTTATAAAGGTAAATGGAATCCAAAGACCCAACAAAGGACTAAGAAATATGGATAGAAGACTAAAAAGACTAAGGCACAACTAACTCCCTTTATAGAAGTGGTGGCTTATTAATGTATATTCAGGAAAAAAGTTATTTTTCTGATCATTCCAAAATATAAAAGCACACTTTATGTAGGCAATTCAAATCTGAATTTGAGAGTTTGAGAGTTGCAAGCCTCAGAAGTACAGTTAAATGTTAATTTTAATTAATAATATAAATGGAAATAATTCTTTTGAATCTCCAGTTCAAAATTTTCACTAAAATCTACCTATGAACAGAAAATGAAACTTTTTTTTTTTTTTTTACCTTTGAAGACGAATTTGGTATCCAGTGCTATTACCATTGCCACAAGATTCTGCCCTTTCTGCAGCTACTCTCTCTGCAACCTTTAATTAGAAGTCACAAAGAAAAGTTACAAAGTTTGCAAAAGAAAATTTTGTAAAAAGAAAATATATTCTCTTAGGACAAATATCCTGAATGCTCATAAAAATCAGGGATTATTCAAAAACTGCTCATCATATTTTCAAGTGATTTTTAAAAATCAATATTCATTAAAATCTAAAGTATCTGGCCCTCCCTGGTGGCGCAGCGGGTTAAAGCACAGCACTGAGAATCTGAGGCCGCTTCCGCATGAGTTCGATTCCCGCCT